GTGCTTTTTCCCCACATTGGTTATTAAGGATATAATTCAGTTTCAAAATGGTCTAAAGGCCCTACTCTCCCTGCATAAAGAAAAAGCAATGGAAACACTCTTTTAGTGGACTATAAATCAATCCTTACCTACCTCTTCTTATAATGGAAAATGAACTAAGGCTAGTTCAACAGATTTTACGGATACACTATGATCTTCTACAGTCCAAAGATCAAACTAGAATTTTACCTTGTAATTGAGTATTAAGACTATCACTCAAAGTTGCCTGTAATCCAGAAGCTACCTAGAACTGATTCAGAAATGAAACAGAAAATCCAGTAGATGATCTGTTCCAAAGGATAAACACACCTTGCAAAAACAATTAAAAAGTATTTGTAGTATGATTGTGTATAGCTCAATACTCATCTGTAGTTTAGAAAGTCCAACAGATTTATCTTTAATCTTATTTATCGTGTGATCAAATACTGTATCTTTAAGACATGACTGATGACTGACCATTTGATCAGGTATAGCCTTAAATGAATCAATTGTGTCTCTTTAATCAATTAAGATTCGCATTACAATATTTCACATTTCTGTAGCACTTGGCATACACAGAATACTACCAAAAAATCAGTAAATAATTTTATTTTGATTTAATTTGTCTTCACTTCTCAATCTTACTTTGCTACAAAGAAAAGTATCTTGGCAGTCCTAAGAAGAAATAAAACCAAACCTGCGGTCTTCTGTTGTTTTATCTGGCTGAGACATTATATTTCTTATTTCTTATCAAACCACAGCAGATGTCCACAGAATTAGACCATTTTAAGACATGGCTATGCATGCACAGCTGCTGTCTACAGAGCATTTACTGGCAAAAGTCAAGCAGGGTGCTAAAAAAGGGGGTGACGGATGTTAGAGGGACTGAGTGTCAAGAGTTTCCCATCTAATCTCGTATTTTCCACATTGTTTAAAGACATTTTGGATAAGACTGAGTCTTTCAGTCTTTGTTTTAAAGTGGGATATTCATAACACATTACTTGAATTAGCAGTGCATATAAAATCAGCAAGGAGTAATTTCAGATTTGTTCATCGATACGTGTTAGTTTCAATTAGTAGTTCATTTCCTATCAAGAGAAGTTGAAAGGCTGTTGAAAAGCTCCCAAGTGGTTACTACCCATAGCCACCAGAGCAGCTACTCCTGAACATGGGTCCTCAGTCTCTCTGCAGTACTCAAGCACTTCTACTCAACTGGATTTTGTAATATCAAGTACAGAGCATCAGTCTCCACAATTCACAATGTGTTATAACGGCCACCTCCACAAGCTGGACAGCTATACTGGCATTTTGACAGAATAATTTGAGTGTGGATAAATATGGACGACTACTTATCTTCATTTTATTTTTCAGTTCTACCTTTATAATGTTTTTTAAAACAAGAAGTTCATGAAATATTTGAGAGTAACATTGTTTAATGATTTGATTTCTTTAAAAAGTACCAAAGTACTTCTTAATTCTTTCCTTAAACTGTTTTCTGTTCCTGTTTAAGGGAAATCATACGTTTAAAAGAGAGCAATCCAACACAATTTATTTTCACTACCTATAAGATGAAACATTCAGTGATGGCTATATGCCTTGCAAACATGACCTGCCTTTAGTCTTCCAGCTAAGTCAAAAGACCATCCACTTAAACCCTCAGAAAATACTAACTTACAGATATGAGTGTTCAGGCAGTAGTCTCAGTTTTGACAGTGAGGGCACTGAGCTATACCGTACTTCTAATACATTCATACAGGAAACAATAACTTGCACTTTAAATAAACTCTCACAGCATCCAGTAAGTTACTTGGTTAGATGCAGAATATCTTATCAGTTCAGAAATCTCAAAAGAAGTGTAACGCACGTTCTTCACTGGAGCAACATATTAAGAGAAGCTTCAGGACTTAACAAAAATAAATTAAAAAATAACTGTGGGTATGCCTGCCTATTATTTTGAGTTTTGAGGAAAAAATTATCTTCTCTTAATTATGATCTATTTGTATGTATTTTTCCTTTCTTATGAATGTGTGTTTATAAAGTAGGATTTAAGCAAATGATGTGCAAATACCTGCACATTAAAATGACTTACGATGCAATCATACTTGGCGTGGTAAGCAATCGACTCAGCAAGCAGGCAGGGTTTTGGTATTATAAAAGAACCTGTTTGTAGGTAGCACCTTTCAAATGGCATGAACAACTTAAACATTAGGAAAACTATGACTCAAAGTCTCAATATCAGACACTGAAAAGAAAAAACCCAACACTTTTAAGATTATCTGATTATTTATAAAGAATGTACAGATTATGCCAGTTTTAAACAACGTAAGAGAGCTGGAAAACTACTCTCCTTTTTGTAACTTTGCCTACACTAAGGACTGATGTTGGACTGTTTTACAGACACAGCAGTGTTCAAAACAGCTGCTTTTTTGAAAGCTAAGGAGGAGGACAAAGAAGTTGAAATGGATGCAGAACTTTTTTATTGCATTGAGTAAAACTAAGTTTCAAATCTTTTTGCACAGCAGGATTGATTGCCTGGAGCAGAACTACAGCAATGAAATGCTCAGTGCTGTGTGTGGAGCGGAGCTGCAAGAGCTCTCTGAACAGAGGGATATCATGCAGAAGGAAAAATGAAGGGTGCAGCTTTGTTCGGTTTTCAAAACACTACATGACGTGCCTCCAGGAAATTGGGAGGTAGCCTGCGACTGATGGCTGCTGTTGGAAAACTTGCTTTAGCCTTTCTGAGACTTTCAAAACCTACTTGGTCTAAATATAACCAGACGTATTATTCCGACACAGTTTGTTTTATTTTAAACCCTTTATTACTTTACAGGCAGACTAATTTATATGCTAAGTGTTCTATTGAAATGCTTGCACATTTTAAATCCGTGGTCCCCATAGTGGGGTGCACGCAAACTGGGGTGCATGAAGAACGTATTAGAAATGCCGTAATGCATGTTTATAATTTATATCTTAAAAAAAAAGAGATATACTGTGTTTGCGTGCTCAAAATTTTATTGATAGAATATTTTTTATTGATAGGAGTTCATGATCAAAAAAGCTCGTAGACCACTATTCTGAACACATCAGTATGAATTCTTTCCCAGTAGCCTCCTCCTTCCTCTTTGTTTTTTTGCATTTTTTATTTGCAAGATTGCAATCTGAAAACCCTCAGAAATAATGGTGTCAGAGATTCAAACGTCTTTGTCAATTTATGCCCTCATCCTTCTTATCAAGAAAGCCTGAGCTTTCTCAGAGGATCTGCATCAGGCTATTTCAAATAAGGCACTACAAAATACCCACCAGAAACTTGAAGGAATACATGGAATTTTTACAGTAACAGTTTTGTACCCAGCTCTTTGCCAAAATACCCCCTTTTTCTGGTTTTGTGCAGCTTATTAGTAACGTGGTATTCACAATCCTATACAGTGGACCTTGATATACAAACTTTACCTGAGAAATCCAGACCCTAGAAGAGAACAGCATTATCTGTCTCTACACAGGTGCTTCTGTTGGCCCTCAGAGTTCTGGGTGTTTTTTGCTAAAATGGCACAAAATGTCAGCTAAGAACTCCTGTGGGATGCAGAAGCAGGAGCAGAACTTTAGCAATGAGTCCATGACTTCCCATTCCTTTCAGTCACTCACCTGGTAATTTGCTAAGATACTCAATTTTTAGTTCAGTGGTTTTGATCACACCTTCAGAGACAATTAATGAAAATTACATTTTTGGCAATAAAATAAATAAAAGAAAGGGAATCGGGTCTATTAGGGAACACAGCTGGAGGTTTGCTTTCTACTTAGATACCATCTCCCTCTTTCCTACTGGACGCTCTCCCCAGATTTACCTTCCCCTTAGCAGCACAGGGACTGGCATAGTGGAAGCGGGACAGTTGTACAACATCCCTGCTGGCCCCATCCCAAAACCTCTCCATTTCAACTAGCTCAGGCATCTCAAGTCTCCAAACACATCTCTCACCATGAAAGGCTCTTTTCACTATATGCACTTACAGACGTGATCCCAGGGCAGGTTATCAGACCTACAAATGTTCTCTGCAATAAACTCAGCCCCATTCAGTCACCAGACTTTCACCTGTATCCCATAGTTAACATCGTACCAGAAATTATAAATCCAGGGATTTTTCACCTATCAGAGAAAGTCTGACACTTGAACACAATGACTGGCAGGAAGTTTACCATAGAAACACAGGTTTCACGTTTCAGTTTCAAACCTGAGATTAAATAAACCAATTAAAAGGCTTAAAAGCTCAAGTTAATGATGGAAAGTTATGCTAAACAGCTAAAACAGTTTCTTCAACATTTTCAGGTTGCTTCACATTGCTGAACCTTTCAGTCCAAAGGAATCGTACCAATTTAGTGCTACATCACAGCAGCTTGGCTAAGTCAAGGGGTTTTCTGACACAAAGCAGCTGTCAGGACAGGAGTCATTACTGCCCGTACCCACCTCACAATGCTGTACATTAACAACATCCACTTAGATTGGCTGCTCTCCGAAAGCCTTAACAGAGAAACAAGGAACCTCCCCATTGCCAACACCCCATATCCCAGTCTCAGAAAGATTTACTTGCTTCCTGGAAATTCACTAATGTAGTGCAATTATTTTTTAATTCACAGATAATTAAGTCTCTCCTCAAGAACACAATCTTCAAACTGGACATTTCACTAGAAAATATAGTTTTCTAATCTACTCTTCTCAACATAAACACATTCTAGACCTTCTTCTCTACAACCTGTCTCTAAAGACTGCAATCAGAAAACTTTTACTCTCTTAATAGCACTTATTTGACTGCCAAATCTAATTTACGTAAAAATACTCTTTTCCTCAGCAACTTCTCATACAACTTTTCTGTGGAAATGTAACAGAGACATTTAAAAACCACGTCATGCTGTTTTCAGTAGGCACAAATTCAGCTTAGTGAAATCAGGTGGAGTACACATATTTGTATGTACAAGTTGCAGTATTGTACCTTCTATCATTTCCATACCACTAGGAGGTTTACAATGTCCAGCATGGCTCACAACCCAAACAGGATACTGCTGATTTAGTCCACAGTACAAGGCCTGTATAAAGGTCCTGTAATAACCTGCCAGTCCAGGGTTACCTGCCAAAAAACAAAACATACGAGCACAGTCAATACTAATCTTACAACAGCAAGAAATCTGCTTCAAAGCAAACAGTGATCTGTTATGTTTTCTCTGGTACATTTCCAATTAAAATTTCCATTCTAATTTCAATTAAACCATTGACCAGTGGTTTAATTCCATGGGTCAATGGCACCCATGAGAAGCATTTTACAGAATTACACTGAAATTGCAGAACCTAGAACTGGAGCCCAACATGAAAGAAAATCTCCTTTTCCATCACAGGTCAACCAGCTTGCTTATCTATCCCATCAAGTTACGGGTACATGAAAATTGGGCAAAGAACTTCCCAGATCTTATAAAAATATCACAAAGATAGCGTATGTCACTTGATCCAGGTGTCTACCCTCCAGAATATTGCTGTGTTACCACAGGATATTGTTCACTACAAAAGACAGCAAGAGGAGTATTGCATAAAAAGGCAGTCAACTTTTTAAGACATCACGACATTTTTAAGACATCACAACACGCACATGTATTACTGAAAGGGTATGAGGAAAAAAAAAACCAACCAAAAACCAAACCCGTCAGTCTGGTTGTAATAACAGAGGCTGAGCCTTGTAAGTATTGATAGCGACAGAGAAGAATCAGAGCTGTCATCAAATAGAAGTGTGAAGATAAAAACCAGGTTTATTCCACTTCTTCCCCTTCATAGCGGGCATTTTCATGTTGTCATCTTTTCCTTCAACCCTTTTGCTCTTCAGGTACCACACGGTCAGTTCATGGCTCTCCCAAGAGGCCTTCCCTCAGTCCAGGGCTGCCAGAACACAGCACACTTACCACAGCGCAGCCACCTCCAGCACAGACACCCAAAACCCCCAGTCTCAGTTATTACATGTTTCTAAGCATCTCTTTGTAACTTTGACATTTAAAAAAAAAAAAAGTTGTTTTATATATTTTTGCAAACTGATTTCCAGAAAAACAGGGGTCACACTTCTGTACAACCGCATCACATTTTCATACATCAAAAATACATAATATAGAAGGCCCCAGAGACAATAAAATCAGATCTAGACATCATCTGTCATGCTCTCGAGATTAATGTTACATGGAGGAAACCTCTCTTTCGGCAAGGTTGAAGATGAAAGTTGCAGCAATACAAAATCAAGTGTGTCATCCGTAGTACAAATTATGATGATGTTCTGTCACTATGCTTAGCCCTGGAATATAATGCATTTAGGTATTTTGAGATCAAGCAATCACAAAATTAATCTCAAAACCAGCCTTTTTTCTTCATATTTTTCGCTCCTTTAATAATGTAAAACAAGGAAAGGGGGAGAAATGGCAACAGCTGTTTTCAACATTTCGGTGCTCTTTCCACTATCAGGCAGGTGAACCTAACACGTAAATACGCTCAGGATTCAGTCATCAGCTGAGAGCAGTGAAGTAAGAATTGCCTATGAACAGTGAGGCTTTGCATCAATTCCTATATAAAGCTGTAATAACTTTTTGAGGAAAAGGAGATTTTTTTAACCTGTGATAAATGTGATCTGTATTTTAGGCAGGTAAGAGAGAAAAATCCGTAAATGCAAAAGAAACTCCCTTTCCCCACTCTTCATAAGCATCTGCTTGCAGTACCAGACATTCGGAGGGGTCAGCTGTTACAAGTGCTACTGATACTTTCAAATGCCTTCAAGGGATATGAATGGGAACCGCTGGCACAAATGGAGAGGAAAAATCAACAAAGATTTTAACAGCAAAGATTTCTAAAGAGAATTCACCATGTGTAAAGCAGCTATAAATTTATTCGTTGTTGAACTTTCAATTTCAGTGGAGTTATTCCAGCTTTGCACTGACTTAAGTAAAAGCAGATTAATAGTCCCTGCTCTTGAAAGCTTGCATCTACAATATTTATAAGTGGAGAATGTTTATCTTCAAAAATAGCTCAAACTCGCATCTCTGCAAAGTCAGTCATTTTATATCCTTTTACTTTACCTGTCATCTGCCAAAATACTTTAAGGGGAGCAAAGAAAAAACTTGATCAGATTTTTTTTTTTTCCAAACAACAGAGTCACAGTAACACCTAATGGAAATAACTGGGGCTTAATAAGCACAGCGGTCTTTGATCAACAATATTTTGGGCTCATCTACTGCAGCTGAAATGTTCAATTAAGCTATAATTTTTTAATACCAGGCTCATCACAAAGGCACCCAAGCAGTGCAGTGCTCATTTGTGCATTTTAAGGATTTCCCAGTAGATCAAACCAAAACTGCCTATGTTCTTGCACTCAGCAACCAAGTGTCAAAAAATGGGAACCATAAGTAAATGCAGTGTTAACCTCCTCGATTGGAAGGTTACTCCCGTTATTTGAATACCACATCAATCCTCACACACCTTGGGGCACCTGAATCGTTCATGCATGCCAGCAAATCTCAAGCTGCAGTCATCTGAACCCAGAAGCACATCTTAAGCAGTTACTCTCAACTGTGCTCAATTTTCAACAGTGTTTACGTTGTTTCAGAAGTCTTACAAACAATATATGTGAGTGGTGACCATATGAGAAGATGACAAAACTACAGTACACCGCGTATTAGCTTAATTTGCAAAAGATTTCTAAGCATTTCATGGGAAGAGTATGTCGAATGGACATTTGCACAGTGAATCAGAACACAGCGGGGCCACTTTATTTGGTGTACTCATAAGTTTCAATAACCAAAGGGCTCCTGGCCACCTTCTCTTTTCTCAGTAATACGCGTAACACACAACATTTCCTCCAGCTATTCTACATTAAGCTCAAAGTCTTTCTATTTTTAAGTCAAAGACGGGAATTCACTTCTTCCTTTCCCAATCTGTTCCACCCACAGCTACAGCAAAATGGTACAGAACGACCGAGTGTGCAGAGGTGTACCTTAGAGCTATATTAGGAGGTAAATATTCTTCACTTCTATATACTACAGATATAGGCTTTCAAGAACTGGAAGTACTACTCTTTAATCATCCACACAGTTAAAAACATGAAAATTACACATGCAATTGTCTGCCTTTCACTTTCAAACACTTTCTTGTTAATGCTTTTTCCATAAAATGAAGTTTTTAAATACCAACCACTTCCATCTTATGAAGACAGCTAGCAGTGGAGAGAGAACAATTTGTACAAACTAAATGTCTGCCCCAGGATATCACCGCTAAAGAATAACTTTTATTCTGAATTCACGTTATTTCCTATACAATGTGTCATAAAGTCAAACTTGGCTTTAAATGAAATGCATACTAATAGTTGAGATGCTGCACTTTCAAAAGGAAGTTATTCAGACTCGGAAAGTTTAAGCTTATATACAGCATGCCATCAGTGCAAGTCAATCAGCTTAACTCTGAGTGCAAAACAGCAAACGTACAATGCTCATTTAAAAAGACACAGACCACAGCTACTCCCCACAAGCAATGACAGCTTTTCTGGCTCACAAACTGTCAAGCATCTCGACTTCTTCTGCAACATAAAAAAGGAGCCACATGGAATAGATGAGGGGTAACGGACACAAGTTGCTTCTGGAGAGATTCCGACCGAACTCCAGAAGAAACTGTTTTACCATGAGACCAATCAGACATTGGAATAATCTCCCAGGGGAAGTGGTAAATTCTCCTACACTGGTCAGTGTTAAAAGTAAGCTTGACAGGGTGCTGACTCAACTCATTTAAAACTATACTTTTACCTCGAGAGGCTGGACAAGATGATCCATGTGGTCCCTTCCAACCTGGTATTCTATGATTCTATGAAAATACTATTGTAAAATGTAAACTCTAAATAAGAGAACACCCAGATTTACTGAGGATTGTGCAATGTAAACCACAGCAGTAAAATGTTTCAGATTAGAAAAAAAGATACACACCAAAACATACAGGAAAAGTCTTCTCTCCAGAAAGGGGTAGGTTGAAAACATATACAGCTTACTCAAAGGAGACTAAAACATAAAATGAAAATAATTCTTAGCAGCTTTGGAAGGGATATCTAAATTGAAAAGGAATTATTTAAGCAGTTCATAGTAAATGCCAAGAGTGGCAGGGAGCGAAGGAGCAGAAAGCCATGTGTAGCTACATCATCACAGAGACGAGGTTACTTGCACTGTGTTTTGAAACAGGATTTCGGGTTCCGAGCACTGCTCTGTGAGACGTCCCCCAGTGTTTCCAGTTGTGTCCCTGCAAGCCTGACCATCTGTGGGAGCAGAAGCTGCAGAGCGTTCAGCTGTGGTGCTTCATGCGGTTCTCCAGCAGTTCCTCTCTGTCTGCTTGGGGACCCCAGCAGGACCATAAAGAAAAAAGGCAGCAGCATGAACAGAAGAAGGGAAATATGCAGCCAACAGTGGGTTACAGAGAACTTTGAGGAACTGGAAAATATGCCAGCAATTACCATGAGTTTAATTTTAGAAATAATCCACAGTTTCAGAATTAACTATGCATGCTGCATTATTCACATGCTAATCCCTTGCAACAAAACTAAACACAGATTTTATTTTATATTTTCTTTAATGAGCAGCCATAAATCAAACTTGAAATCCAAGGGCGCACAGCAGGACCACACAAAAGCCATTTTTGTAGCAATGATTCTCACTGCCTCTCCACAGAGCTGCCAAAGCTTCCAGCTCCAGCTCCAAGAGCCTCAATGACAAGTTCCTCACTCAAGGAAACTTAATCTGCCTCTGGCGTCTGACCAGCCACCATGGAAGAAGATGCAACTCCCCTACGTTAATGAATGGCAAGCAGCCCACGCAGATGTCAGGAGGATTTAAATGGAGCATGTAAAAAACACAATGATGTTCTCACACTTGGGAGAAAACTGCAGAAACCGACACCGCGATGGATGATCAGGCCTTAAAAGGAAACGCACAGGTTCCTCTGACACGCAGGGTCAAGCGATTTCAAAGAAAACATGTCAAATAACACTTGAATGATCATCATAACCTCATGTCAATTAAGCTTTCACCTGTTTGCAAGTCTAAGGGACCAGCATTCTTTGTCCTGTAC